TTTAGTTCTTCGTTTAGAATATATAATATATGCTTTGTATAGGAGTTAGAGTTGATAGTATAAATAGAGATTTTCTTCCTCATAATATTAATATTTGTCATTGAAAACCACCGACGTTTCCAACAAGTCAGTGCGATGGAAACACAATATGTTCTATAAACATATTCGGTGATAATATTAGTTCAGGATTAGGACAACATTTGTCAGTAGACACTCATTAATCATCCCAACATTTGTTGTCGCGTTTCTAATGTTAATAAGAACATCTTCAAAAAAACTCTATAAGAATAAAACTCTTTATTTTAAAGAGTCAAATCTTAAAATTTGACTCTACGAGACTCTTTATTTTGACTTTTTAAAGTAGAGAGTGAGTTTTGCTCTCTGCATTTAAAAAGCCAAATACATTCTTTATTTATATTTTATAAAGGTTGCATTTAATGATATTGCAAGTTTCAATACTTTTTAGGTAATGACAAAAAAATAAATATGTATATTAAAAAATGAGGTAAAAACAATAAATGTATGTTGAAAAAAGTAAAATAAAGAGCAAAAGTAAAGAATTCGTTTGGAGTGTATAAAACTTTGTACTTTTTAAATTTCAAGATACTCTCTATTATGATCAAGATGCTCTCTAAAAATAAATAGTTTCTTGAAAATGCTCTAATGACCACAAAGTTCAACCAAAATTTATTTGCTTATGTAAGTTTGCTCTTCAACTTCAACATTGTACTTCAAGCTATTTCTGATATTTGATTGATTTAGCAAAATTTAAGTAATATAGTTTTCATCGCATTGGGGTATTGATGTTTAAAAGATTCATTTGAGAAATTTGATGACTTCGTGTAACCTCACTATAGTGCTGTTACAATGACAAAGAGGATGTTGGCATTGGATGTGTAGAGTTCAATTATATTGTTCACAAGACCATTAACTGACCTTCGTGGTAATGTAAACATAGTACTACACCACCTAGTTTGGCCCTCCAGGTGAAACTTCAATCTTTTAGGAGTACAGTAAATAAAATAAAACCCGGTACAGCTACCTTCTTTTCATTCTAGGCCTTTTAGGACGCAGCTTCAATCGAAAAAAGGTGAAAATGGGCTACCAAGAGGGATTCATGACCATTATGTGCCTTCGGCATCGATGCGCTTGAGACAGAAGAAGAACCTGGAATGATTGGACTTCAGGATCCATGGTTCATTCATTGTTCAGTTGGTGCTACAGCTTATTTTATGTTATTAATTGCTACTAGTTATTTCTTCAAATCCATGAACTCAATTTGTTTATTCTTTCTTATGGGTCGTTTCTGGCTTTTAGTGCAGGGGTTTTTCCCAGCTTTCGAAGTATTTAAACATTGTTGTCAGCTTCGTTGTTCTCTGATGATTTTTGAACAAACATAAACGAGAATGAGTTTTTTTATTTAAACTTGATCTCAATTTGGTATTCGCGTGAATCATTGAATTGTTGATGGCGTGCTATATGATTCAGTTTCATTTGCCTACAACAGACTCATTTCACAGCTAGACACTGCCTCTGAGAAAGAGCCTTGCTGCTTATGATGCTCGTGTGGACGAGGTTCGGCGATGTGAAGAAACTTCACCACTTTGTCAACAAATTGAAGCATTGAAGCAGCATGTAGCCAGATTGGTGACTCATCAGCACGAGATGGCTGACCACCTATACAGAGGGGCACGAGGTATGGTCAGCAGCTAACATGAATAAAGTTGTACATGATTAAAAATTGGGGACACCTAAAAAAATTTGTTATTTGCTTTGTGCTGTCACTTCCAATCCAGTATCTGTAGATCAATTCAATTTGTTCAATATACACAAACACCAAGGGCATATTTAAAACCAATAGCAACCTCTGTTACCTTTATATAGTGGCTTTGTAATTTGGATTAGACTCTAAAAGATTCAAGAAAAACAAATTAGAATGGCATTGGGACACATCAATGGTGTCAGTTAACACGCACTCGAGCAAGCTCGCTCAGCAAGCTTCACTCTTGCTGGAGCGAGCAAGATTGTGCAAGACTGCCTACTCTCTAACTTCTTCTTGCCCGCACACTATGTTGTTTTCATTGCTTAGTTTAAGGTCATTCTATGACTCAAAGCCAATTCACTATGATGCAAAATCATTATTTAAAAAATGTTACGCTTGTGGTTTAGATGGACTAGCACGAGGGGAGAACACCTTCAGTTTATAGCTTCACATTTGGAGTAGCTTTCTCTTCTGTTGCTTTTCCTCTCTTTCTTGATCAGCAGGAACGATTAATTAAAGTACTTACTTAATAGGCTAGCTTGCATTTAGGGAGAAATAAATACTAGACAATTGGGCATTTATTAGATGGCCAAAGAAATATGCCATCGATCAATACTAAAATGTGTCAAAATTGTTATGAGAAAATTTACAATGACTTGAAAGCAGCTATATTGCTTGCTAAGTGATTCATACAAGGCCTCTATCCGATCAATTAGATCTGAGGAATACTCACAATTTTCAGAATTAAGTCTTGTACACCCTTTAGTNNAATTAAGTCTTGTACACCCTTTAGTACATCCAGAGTACCTGTAATTGTCAGGATTTAAAGAAAGTAGCACTCTGTACAATTTTTCACCTTTTTCTTCTCGGTCCTGCAGCTCCTGCTTAAAAAGAAGAGAAACCATAAGAAGGCCAGATTCTTCTAGTAAACAGTCTTTAGAACCTCGAAAAAATCATCAGGTCACTGGTTCAATCGGTGAATCATTCTTAGACCGTAACTTTAATTAAATTATATTTTTGAAACAAAAAGAAAATCATTTTGCTAAATCTAAATATATACATTTTGCTCACATTATATTACAAAGATTCACCAATCAATGCACTCGGACCGAACCACTATCTAGTTCGGCGATTCCGATCCAGACCTTCCATGCTCACACTTTAAAATGAAGGTAGTCATCCTCAAGATTCCCTCTATACGCTTTTAGTATATTAGTCGCTTTTACTCCATTGGAGTTCAAGTGATAAGCTACAGCAGATCCAATCTAATTCATGTGATGATTCGGTTTCAGCATGAGAAATTGCTGTCTTGTCTCAACAAAACATGACAAGTGTTGAAAGAACTAATAAAACATAATAGCCTCAGAGGGGTCATTCATCATAGGCCACTTTAGGTAAAAAAGGAGCAGCTATATTCA